ATATTATGGTCTCTCCCCATATGTAAAGAACTGCAGAAACTTGGTTTGTGGAAAGCAACCATAACATAAGGAAACTAGTAAAGGTCGCCAACATCTGTAACAAACAAGAAAACATATTCATTGGTAATGTTCAAATAATGACAACATTTATTTGTATTATTCATTAGAGATATTCCTATAGCACAGACAGTTTACATACTGTACATTCATGTCCTCATACATAGTACAATCATAGCCAGAGGTCTGTTATCTTTTTTTGTAGCTGTTCCCTGCACGGGATATGAGAAGTATTCACTTGTAAGGGTTACTTGAGTATTAGATTAGTGTAAGGGTGAGGGGAATGGGTTTTTTGAACCTTTAGGGTTACAGAAGAACTCCAGGGAAATCACAAACTGACCCTTGCAGTGGGACTTCCCTCACACGGCATGGGTTAAGTGCTCGTTTTGTCTAGGGGAGCCAAATAAAGCAGATATACTTGCCTGATCCTCAGCCCCACTGGCTCCCTCCAAGCTGCTAGACTGGTCCCCGTAACTTCTTCTTGCCTGGGTTCCAGCAGTCTAAGGGCCACTGACACCAGCACGTCTTATGCAGGTCCATTCACCTGCAATAAACATGAGGATGCCAAGGGACATTTCATAGCTGGTGCGGAGAGAGGTGAGTGCCAACCACCTCAACACTGAGGATTAGGGGAGTGATACAGCTTCATCTGAGACCCCTAGACAAATCAAGCATGTATCCCTTGCAGTGTGGGAGTAGTCCCACTGAAAGGGTAAGTTTGTGATTTTCCCAGAAGTTTAGAGTATAGGGGGCAAGTCTTGTTTAGAGTTAAGGGACAATTTTAGGGGTTATGATAGAATGAAGAATAAGTGTTATACAACCCCAATCCCAAATAAGTTGGGACACTGTAAAATCTACATAAAACAAAATGCAATAATTTGCTAATTTTATAAAACCATATTTTACTCACAATAGAAAATAGAAAACATATCAAATGTTTCATCTGAGAAAATGTATCATTTGAAAAAAAAAATAAGTTGAAATTGATGGTTAAGTTATGGGTAAGGAAAGGTGAAGTCTTAAAGGGGTTCTAAGCCCTCTGGTTTGTTGCCTATATCTACTGTTAGCAAGCAGCAGATATAGGCAAAAAGTAAAAAAAAAAAAAAACACACTTTAACAGCGGTTTACACTTACCATGTTATCGCTGCACGCTCCCGCGCCGAGAATCCGGAACTGATCGAGTGGCCGCAAAGCATCTTGGGGCGTGCACATGCGCAGTTCGGATTTTCGGCCGGGGGACGAGCAGAGACGCAAGGTAAGTCTATGGACGCGTGCACCTGCATGCAGACACCACGGGATCGGAAGTGCCTGCAGGGACAGAGGAGTCAGCGCTGGATCGGAGACCCGCCGCAGCTCTGGAGGGACAGATGAAAACATCAGGAAAGAAGAGGAAGATCGGATTAAGAGACATCATTTAAGGTAAGTGCTAACATTAACATGGGGGGGAGGGGGAAAAAAGTTAGACTTTAATGTCACTTTAAGCTGGCCATACACCTATAGATTATCTGCAGATTTTCTATGGTCCAATGGAAAAAGTGCAACAGATTCCTCCATCTACGCTCAACTGTGTGGATGGAGGAATCACCCACTTAGCATAGATGGAGGAATCTGTTGCACCTTATCCATCTGTCCATAGAAAATCTGCAGATAATCTATAGGTGTATGGCCAGCTTTTGGTGGAATTTTAGGATGTTTTGAGCACTGAAGATTACGACAATGGGCATCAAGAGCTAATTTACTAACAGCAGCTACTTTACTGCATCTGTTAAGCCATTTTAACACAGTGATCTGGAAAAAATACATTTCGTTTTTCTTTATAAAACTTTGCATGGCACTAGCGATCCTAGATGGCACTGACGAGTATTTCCCATACTCCTCAACGCCATCTAGGGGTGCCGCTGGGGTGCGAAAGGCATCCACCCAGCGAGTTTTAGAAATAAACCTGATAGTCTACTGTACAATTCTACTAATTTTCATTCCTAAAACAACATCACACCTTATGGCTGTTGTAAAACAATCAGACCACCCTGTTCTTGATTTAAAGTTTAGACACAATGTCTTTAAAGTTGAGTAGAGAAGGGAAGAGTTAAAACCTGTCAGATTTTATTTGCTATGTCCCGTTGGGGAGATTTTCCTGTGTCAGAGACTCAGCAATAAGTGAGAGAACATCTCGCTAAAGCTAGATGGTTGTCACCGGAATGGGTGTTCCTATTAGAAGGTTTTCCCCTCGTCTCCTGACCTAGAGATAACATTAAAATGTAGCAATTCCCTTGATTTTTTTGTCCACTCAGTCCAGAAAGAGAAAATCCAGGGCACTCAACACAAATCACTGTTCTTTATTGTAGCAAAAAGCTCAAATCAAATAAACCAACCCGGCTAGACACATTTTCTTGAGGCAATGGGCACAGATCCAAGTGCCTTGAGAAAGCGTGCACCAAATATGAGAAATGGCCGAATTATTTTATTTATTATTAGCCTTTTTGTGATGCAATAAAGTAGACTGATTTGCCGTGACTGCCCTGGATTTTTTTCTTCTGGGCTAAAAGGCTTTAACCCTTTAACACTCTATCCGAAATTAAAATATATGCATTTTAAATGGATTTGATGAGAGCTAAGATCTAGGATATTTGTAACCTAAATGTACCTACTGTACTTAAAAGGTAATTAAAGCCCCTGGGTTTTTTTGCATAGATCTACTGCTAGCAAGCAATAGATCTATGCAAAAAGTGTAAAAAAACAAAACTGCTGTAACAGAGGTTTAAACTTGTCTTCCCCACGGGCTCCTCTCTGAAAATGTGAAGATCCTCCGGCGGCCGCAAAGCATCTTGGGGCGGGCACATGCGCAGTTCACGTTTTTGGCCGGGACGCGAGGAGAGACACAAGGTAAGTCTATGGACATGTGCACGTGCATGCAGACACTGTGGGACAGGAAGTACCAGCAAGGACAGAGGAATCAGCGCTGGATCGGAGACCCGCCGCACCGCTGGAGGGACAGATAATAACTGCAGGAAAGAAGATGATCAGATTAAGAAACATCATTTAAGGTAAGTGCTTTCATTAACACTGGGGGGGAGGGAGGAGGGGGGGAAGGGAAAAAATTGACTTTAATGCCACTTTAATGTTCATTTGTTATATGCCAGATAATGAGATCTCATTAAAGAGACTCTGTCCCAGAACAATTATTTCAACAACAAACTTCTCATAAGGTTATATTTGCATTCAATGTATTTTAGACATGGTATTTACTTGTAAATGCCTCCCTTGTGTAGACATTCTAAATTTCTGACACTTCTGCTGGGTGACTCAGAGCTGTCACACAAGTGCCACTCTATAGCAGAGGTAGGCAACCTCAGCACTACAGTTATTGTGGGACTGCAAGTCCCATGATGCATTGCAAGAACTTGACAGCCACAGGTATGGCTCTCAGAGACAGATGCATGAAGGAATTTGTAGTTTCAAAACAGTTGGGACTGCTGGGGTTGCCTACCTCTGCTCTACAGCAGTGCTCCCCAACCTTTTTATCGCCGCGGACCGGTCAACGTTTAATAATTTTACCGTGGCCCGATGAGGGGGGGGACATTGATTGTTTATATTTTAGATTGTTTTGATTTAATAATTTTAATTTCATTGTATTTAAACATGCCTTCAAAATAAAATACAGTTACACCAAAAAATGAAAGCGTTGGAATTCTTCACCTATTCCACCACCGAAAAACTGGGCGAGATTACTGTAGGAAAGTCACTGGTCTTTCATCAGTATTTGGCAATAAATGTACAAAATAGTGCATGCAGCATTTTTGCAGATCGCACTGGACCGGAAAACGCAGGCACTAATGTGTTACGCATTCCGGTGCCGTGATCGCACTGCAGGCGGGGGGCGAGGCTTCAGTACCATTGAGTTCAATGGACCACCACGCCCCCTCCTGCCCCAAAACAAAGTGAGCCGCCGGGTTGCATTCCAGAGGCTGAATGCACTGGCACGCACTCCTTATGGTGGGACTGGGCCCTTAGGGCTTGTTCACACAAATTACGGTGCTTTCCAGAGCGGTAGCTGCTGGAACGCACAGCAATCACTCACAAATCTTCCAGCTGAGTTCAGGGGTGGGAGGGGGCGTTGCGGTGCATTGAAGTCAAAGGCACTGCAGCCACCTCCCGTAGTGCGATCGGATGCGGGGCAAAATATTGCCTGCGTTCTGTTCCACTGCAATGCTGCTTGCGCTATTTTTTGTGTTTGCAGTGGAATGGAACGCAGGCAATGATCCTCTACAGTATTTGTTCCTCTCCTGACTTCTTCATAAAAGGTTATGTAAGGAGATAAATGGAGGGTGGAGGAGCTGGGCTAGCACATGCAGGTATTAGACACTCCCAAGACTATGATGTGCAAGGAGGGAGGGGGATATACTAGGGAACTGACACTTTCTGCAGTAAGGGTAAACCTCTAAGTTTTTTTTTTGCTATCCATGTCCCTGCTGGGGAGATTTCCCCTAACTTCCTGTCCTGTGGGCACACAAGCATAAATTCCTACTCATCCCCACCCTATTGAAAAGTGTATTTACTGCTGTTTGGGTTACTGCTGGAAATATTTTTCCAGTGAGCTGACAAGAAATGAGGGTAGGTTTCTGCAGCGGTGAAATAGCAAAACAAAATAATAATAGAAATAAAATACCTTGGTTCACTTCAGCCAAGAAAAAACAAAAAAAACACAACAAAAAGGTTTTTGATCACAATTCTGCAAGCTCCCCTATAAAAGATTTCCATTTATCTTGATGTTTAGCTTAACTGACAATGAACCACAAAAGGTTCGGGGGGAAAAGTCACTTCTACCCAGATTCTTCACAGAACACCTCTGGAAGTTATCCCTGGTTCAACCAAGTCCGACAGCTATGCAGTTTTGGCACTCATAACCGAGTCTTATATCAATAGTGAACCGATCGGTTCTCACCTTATGTGCACGGCAAGGTGTTTTTACACTCTTGGGTCTCCTCCAACTTCTTTGTTTGTCCGTTGATCGCAGCACATTTAAACTTAGGTGTTCCCCAGAAAAAGACTTCCACAGGTTTTACGGCTCCATCCACTACAGTCCTAAGGCGAGGAAAAAAGAAATGTAATAAAAGCTCCAATATTTGTCCTACTAGATTTCTGTTGAACTGATGAGTGATGGTAGCACCACACCCTCACTTCTTACAATTCACACATATTCTATTTTTCTAGGGATTTGAAGGTGCTGAACTACAACATAGTCAGTCATTTATCAAATATATCAAATGTAAAAGCTCTAAGCACCTAAATTCCAAAAAAGAAAAGTATTCAGTCCATCAAATGTACATAGGTTATTTCCTGCTCCTCATATGAGGGGTACCTCCTTGGGCCACTACTAATAACTACAAAAAATATGTCTAATTTATGTAGTATTATTTGTATTTATCTACTGAAGAAACATGTTGAGTGGCCCAATCTTCGATGCGTTTCGCATTATGCTTCCTCGGTACAGGAGGTAACCGCTAAAGTTGCTGCATAACATAAAGTCACAGCCTTTTAAATTAACAAAAGTCTTTCCTAAATTCAGAGAAACAAATTCAGTCTAGGAAGTCCGTGCATCTCAATCCGCACAAGGACAGATTATATTTTTTGTGTTGAGTTCTTTGCTGCTTTGTGTTTCATACATTGTAAAACAAATAACTTCTGACCTGTGAAATACGGCATCCATAGCATTTTCTAGGCTAAAGCCTTCAACAGCCTTACAGCCTTCACCCCAACTTTAAAGAGAATACTCCGTAATGTCTAATGTTCACCTTCCCTTGCCTCCACCACTATGGCCCTTGTTGCCCATCTGTGGTGTGTATATGGCATGATAATTTATTGGACTTCATATAATGTATGGATGCACCAATACCGATACTAGTATCAGTATCGGCGCCGATACAGAGTATTTGGCCGAATACTTGTACTCACCCAAATGCTCTGATACCTTCCCCAATACTGCAACTTCCGGTCAGAAGGAGATTTCCTCCCACCGGCAGTGCCACAAGGGAACATGAAGCTGGCTACTCTGCCAATCAGGAAGCTGGGCGGCGGGTAATGACTCGCCGCCCGGCTTTCCAATTAGCTGGGAAGCTGGCTCCATTCTAGTTTTGGCCAGCTCCATGCTGATTGGCTAGCAAGCCAGCTTCTGGCCAATCAGCATCGAGGTGGCCAAACAGCATGGAGCCGTCTTCCTGGGCAATCAAGAAGCCGGGCGGCAGTTAATGACACACAGCCCAGCTTCCCGATTGCCCGGGAAGAAGGCTCCATGCTAGCTGAAGTACCATTTTTGGTACTTGGTATCGGCGATTACGGATATATAAATGTTGGTACTCGTACTCAATACCGGTATTGGTGCATCTCTAATATCATATCATATGAATGAATACATACAGGTGGATACACTAAAAAGCTATACTTGCCTGGATAGACTGGGATGCTCACATATGACTGTTTAACAGGTACCTCAATGACGGAAAACAGTAGGTCCCCCTAAACTCCTTACAGCGTTTCCGGCCCAAATAACAATGGTGGTGCTCGTAGTGACAATCACGGATGGCGCCGTGCACAGCAAACAATGAAAGATAGGAGTCACCAGCACTCCATAGATGATGTTCAAATAGTAACGTCCATTTATTTTGACAAAACGTCACACATGTAGCAGTCGGTTCTACTGAACCGAAGTTTAGCAGAGGGCGGGTACAATGCTGGTTTACTATTGGCTATTGCAAATTGAAATAGCCAATAGGAATCTAGCAATGCATTCGCATGGGCAAAAATTGTTATCTTTTTTTTCTATTCTGACATCGCTTCGTGTCAGTATAAAGAAAAAAAAAAGAAAAAGCAGTGCTTCTCTCCTGGGCAGCCGGGAGCGGAGGCTCCCAGAGCTCCCGGGAGAGTTTTTTTCTTCCTTTTTTTTTTTACGGCAGCAGAACCGCCGGACAATAGGAAACTGTTGTGCGGAGCTAGCTGTCACTGCTAGCTCCGCACAATCGTTTTCTATTTACTTTTTAATCTATTTTTCTGTTCTGCTCGGTTCCTCTGAGGGACCGAGCAGAACAGCCGAGCAGAATGCCGCTCAGCGGCATTCGGCTATTCACTCACTGCTGTTCGGCATCTATAAGAATAGGCCGAACAGCAGTGAGTGGCCTGCTGGAGGTTCGGCTTAGCCGATCCAGATGTTGGATCGGCTGAGTCAAACTCCTGAGTCAAACTCTGCTGAGCATGTTCGGCCGACCCGAAGCAAGCCGATGTACGGCTGAAATCAGCCGTACCAGCCTGAAGTGAATAGCCAAACAGTGTTCGGCTCACTTCACTTCCGGTCAGTCATTCACTCGGCTACCTACGGCAGCTTAGTGAATAGACCCCCATGTACTTTCAAGTATGGGGAGCGTGCAACTCATTGCAGCGCAAAGGGTCATATTAATGAGTTATACAAGGCAACAAGTGAAAGCAGTAAGTGAGATACTGATGCTATTCAGTAAACACAACAGTGAGAAAATCACTAGATTCACACAATTTACCTTCATCTAAGTCCTGTGTGGACACAGCTCCATGAAGGGTCAACAGGAGTGTACTTACAGAGCCGTGTATATTACTCTCTATCTGCTTTATTGCATCACAAGTCACATTCAAACCTCCAGGGCTCGACGGAATCGGATTGGAGACTGTGAGAAACGTCTTAGTGCTGACATTTTTTACATTTGGCTTTCTGTATGTGTGAGTCATCAGGCAGGGTGTTCCATCATCACCAGCAGGCACGTTCCAGGATTACCAGATAAAAGACAGGACAGCAGGGAAAACTGATACCCTACAAATACTTAGTGGATATGCTTTACTCAAGGTTTCTTTCTTTTTTTTTATTGGAGTGTACCTTTAAATCAGTCACATGCTACACTTTCAGTAAGGCCTGGTTCACACCTAGGCGTATTGCATATGCGCGTCTGTCGCGCGGTTGTCGCGCGTTTTTTACCGCGATTTGCGGTAAAAAAATTGCACGACAAACGCGCGTTTCCGAGGGCTACTTGGCTGTATCCCAATGGAAACGCGCAACAAAAACGGCCCAAAGTAGTACATGTACCTTTTCAGGCGTGGGCCGTTTTGTAGCGCGTTAGGGACGGGCTGAAATACGGCAAGGTGTGAACCAGACCCATTGAAAACAATGGGATTTTCATGTTTGAGCGTTTTGTAGAGCGTTCGTCGAGCGTCGAACACTCTACAAAACGTTCAGGTGTGAACGAGGGCTTAGAGCAGCATTATTACCACACAGATGGCAGAAGACATTGATACAGTTGGATGCTGGAAGAAAGACTTACGGGTAACCTGGATACTTTGCCAAACATTCTCTGAATCTTTTTCTCTCAGAATATCCACAGGGGGAGGAACAAAGTCCCCAGTTACTCCACTCCGGCCAGGTACCTAGTTCGGTGACTAAAAACATTGCAAAGCTTTAGCATGTTGAACACATATGTACACATTGCTTTTACTGCAACTTTAAATTCTTTATTTAGAACCACAATGGACAAATAGAAAAGATCAAAACAGCATGTCATACAACAAATTAAATAATGGAGCAATCATCATTAATTGAAGCATGCAATACACAAGGACCAGGATGTTTCTGAACATGTTCATGTCCCTAGCGGGGTTTTTCATATGATAACTAGGGGATCCGTGAAGAAAACGTAAGCAGAGGAAGAAAGCAGAAAAGAGGATTAAAGACAGATTTCAGAATAGTGTCAGAGGTGGAAAGTCAAAGGTTGTGAGAAGGAAACGGATGGTACGGGCAATCCACACGGGGGAGGTAATCGGGAAGTGGAGGTGGAGGCTGACAGATAGGAGCAATGCATCGGAGATGGGATAAGTCCAGAGTGTATCAGATGGTGCATCCATCATGCACTCCGTTGTCAGCAAGGAGGGTTTCTGGATATGCTTCAGAGTGTTTTAATTGAATCCAGTAAAACCACGGCTTGTTGAAGACCACTGATCTGTTCTTAAGTGAAGCAGTGAAGTCTTCCTTGTACACAATGTAGTTTACTTGAACTTTACTTGTAGGGGGTGAGGTCTGCTTCCAAAGCCCAGTAATACAGGTCTTAGCTGCGTTCAGAAAGTGTACGGTCAATGATTTCCCGCAGCGGGTCTTTGGAATAGGCGTAAGGTACAGTAAACATGCCGTGGTTTCAGACCTGTGAGCTCAAAAATTATGCAGGTAACTTCAGTCCAAAATTGTCTGAGCCTGGGGTACTCCCAGAAGATATGGAATTAGGTGCCTCGAGATTCAGCACACCAACAACATATATCATCTGCCCCTGAGAACAGCCTAGCTAAGACAGTGGGAATTCTTTACCTGCTAGTCATCTATTTGTGGTTTGCTTCCTGGTATTTATTAGAAATGGAAGCACAATGCTCTCGCTGTTGGTGGGAGAGCTCAACTCCCTCGTCCCGTTCCCATGTCTAGGTAGAGAAAAAAAGGGGTGATTCTTTCGAGGCTAGTAGGAGCTGAGAGGAGACCAAGAAAGACCCCCTTAATAAGTGTCATAGGGAAAGGATAATGGGCTGTGTCCCATCTACGTGCCACCCCATTGAAAGCCTATTGGGTGGAAAAAAAATCAGGGGACATTTCTTAACACTGGTAAAGTCAACATTTCCTGCACAAGGCAGACACTCATGGGGGATTTGAAATTTACAGAGAGAGCATTCCAGATTAACCTAGAGCTTCTTTCCTGACGGCAGCACCAATTGACAATCCTTGCTAGGTGCACTGCAGCATGGTAGATTGTGGGGTCCGGAAACCCAATGCCCCCCTGGATTTTGGCAGGAGTGAGGTGTTAAAAAATATGTGTGGCT